CCTCGTGGGCCAACCCAACAGGCTCACATGTTCGTTGAACTCCTCAGCCCGCGGCTTCAACAGCTCATGGGCGTATCAATTGAGCTATGCCCGCTGGTCTTCGCACACATCTCCGGTACCAGCGCTGTCACCGCGCCCCAAAAACGGGACCGACAACTAAAAATAACTAAAGAAAAATAAAAATAAAGTTAAAACTAAAAATGCGAACGTCGGAAACCAGTGCAGCTTGGAAAGGGAGACCGCCTGTATCACTCTTAGTTCCGCCGTCCAGGCCTACAGATGGGCCGGCAACAGAACCAAAGGGGATAGCCCCGTCGGGCCCTCAACCCCTTGGAATCTTTAGCCGCTCCAATGTTCCATCGCCGCCGGTCTCCGCCCTCGATCCCTGTACCGTCGCTTTGAAAGTCCAATGCCATTACCACTAGTGGTAGTACCCAAGGCCGAAATGGACTACTGCAAAATTCAGTATAAGTCGTTGCCGCACAGCACGCGATGCTACCAAAATACATCAAGGCCACTCCTTCGCCTACGGACCAAACTCACGACTGCCGACCTATGGCGCCCGCCGCTCATAGGGTCAGGCTCCGTCCCCGACTGTCAACCTCCCGCATCTACCGCGCGGAGGTCACCGCTCACATTCTATTTCCTCTCGCATGCTCCAACCAGCGCCTGAAAGCAACTATTATTGCCTGGTGACGTCTCCCTTATGAACACACACGCACCATGGTCACCTTAACATAGAGAAAACTCCTCCTAACTTTTAATCAAAATCACAATTTTGTCGGCAGAAGCGCAGACTCTATAACATCAAAATAAGAATTATCACGCACACCTCGAAATTGCGCGCCCACACACTCTCTACTTTTAGTCAAACGTTTAAGTCAGCGTGAACAAAACGCAACTGTGACTCACGCAGTACACTCAAATGTCAAATAAAACTTATCTTTTGTCACTCGCAAAACCCAGGGCGGATACCCGTGTAAGGGTATTTGCGCGGACACCGTGGCAATAAAATGTGTCCACGAACACATTCACGAGGATGAACAAGTAAGGAGTATTGGGATACATTCCTCGCGATGTATCTCATGATGCCTTTAGCAGGCCATCCGACAGACGCGGAAGGTTTACTGTCAGATGCACCAGAATATTCGAATTTCACATTTCAAGTTCTATTTCTCAGAGCCAGAAAAAAAAAAACGAAGTCTGGAAATCAATCCCCCCCCTTTAGAGCCCATAAAATCCTGACTTCCCGCCCACGCAAAGCCACGAGCTACAAGTTAGTCCAACTTCGTTTTTTTTTTTTTTGGACGCATCTCATTGGACGGGAGGTGGGCATCTTTACAGTCCCCGCTCGGAAACTACCAGGCCGTCGAGATCCGATCTATTCGACGGCCGTACTGAGTCACTCGATGCCACACGTGATCGAAATCCTGAACGGCGTGGTAAAATACCTTGCTAGTGGGTCCAGGCCCCTGGTGCTACAAAAATCTTGGCGGGGTATCTTTCCATGTTCTTGCGGAAGATTCACTCTCGTTCTGCACACCCCCCCTTTTACCCTGTCTCTTATACACATCTAGATGTGTATAAGAGACAGATCTAGAGGGGACCCCTGCAAGCATAGTTTTCCTCTCTCTGTGAAGGGGAGATTTCATGTTGCCCCTTGCCCCTAATGGTTAGGGAATAGGGTTGGGGCTGCCAGTCGGGGTCTGGCTAACACAAAGACCGAGACCTGCCAGTAGCTGTGCCTCCCTTTCTCATCGTCCCCCACCCTTCATCGAGTAGCAGCAGAGGCTATGGCCAACACTCTCCCACACACCACACACAACCCACTCGCGCTCACACTCGTACCCGTGTTGGTCATAGACCCCGCTAATACCGATCAGGGGTATCCAGAGGACTATCACAGTCTGTTGGCACTAAGTGCGCCGCAGGTGGCCGTGGGGCTTGAACCCACAACCTCCTGAATGCCACTTGCATGCCTAACCAACTGAGCTAGGCCGCCTCTCTTTTTCAATGTCTTGCACACTCGGCCTTTCCACCTGGGAAATAACACTCTTGGAGCACTGTTCCACTAGCAAAGGAGTAAGGTAAACTGTGTCCCACAAACACATTTGGGACATCCGCGGGACATCGTCCGACCACTGATGCAGGAGAATGAGATGGCAGAGAAATTGCGGGGGATTTATATTCTGATGTGTTTTTTTTTTGTTTTTTTTTTGTGATTTTTCTTTCCAGCTCCCAAGAATGGGAGGCGTGAAAAGAAAACAGAAACACTCATTTTGATTGGCAGCTCTTCAAAAGACGAAAAAAGATGAAGTACTCGAAGAGCATATTTTTTAACCCCTTCTTTTTCCAGGTCAAGTGTTATCCCCATCCAGTACTTCGATTTTCTCTCAAAATATACGAAATGCACTCTTCAGCATGGCAACCGTCAGAGAAGGGAGTCCCATCAGGCACACAAAGGGACTCCCTCGCGGTGGTATGCGTGACTGCAACAGTCACGTACCACTAATTGATGGGGTTTTTTTGAGTTGTCTGAATTTCGCAGTAGTAGCTCTCTAATAAGCTCTAATTTTTCGTAGCCAAGCCGGGAAAATGGTCCGGGTATCTCAAACTTTCAAAATTCTGCTCAGGGAGGGAAAGTCAGGACAGAGGTCCTTGGGACCGGATCTGTGCCTAGTTTAAAGTACACCTCTGAAGCCTAAGCTAAGCTGGCTGATGCTGTCAGTACGTTCCCCCGGGTTGAGTTGTGAGGATCCCCGGCCTCGCTTGGAAATCTTTATAATAAAGTGCTTGGTTGTTTAAAAAAAAAAAAAAAAAAAAAAAAAAAAAAACTTTCAAAATTCCATGTAAATTTCTATGTGGGATGCTGGGCCCCGTTCCCAGCACGTGTTGCTCCCCACGAATAGATTGGAGCCTTGTTCCCATAAAAAAAAAAAAATGTACCACTCTGTCCTGATAAGGCATTGGCTGGGTGGGGAGCAGGGGGAGGAGATGGGAGGGTTAGTGGGAAGGCAGCACTTTCAAAAAGTCGGCCTCGTCCTTCGGGACATCCGTTAAAATTTGAACGATACAGAGAAGATTAGCATGGCCCCTGCACAAGGATGACACGCATAAATCGAGAAAAGGAAACGTGAAGTCTCCATTTTTCTTTTTTTTAAGTCTTTAAAATTACTTTTCTTCCTTTTCTTACAGTGCCGCACAGGGCCCAAGTCCCACTAGCAGCGTTGAGTTTCCTCAACGCCTGAACTACGTGCTGTTGAGGAAACTCAACGTGATTTCTGCACAGCTCCACAAACACGTCCAGATTCGGGCGTTGAGGAAACTCAACGCTGCCAGTGGGACTTGGCCCCAGGTCCAAATAGGCCATGACTCGTGTGCTAGTTGAACCGTGCCCTTGGGGGAATGATGCTATGGGTCAATCACCGTAGCCACTTAAACCACCAGTACCTGGCCCAGCTATAGAGTCCGAGCCTCGGCCGACCGGTACGCCGACCCGTGCCGAGGCTCGGACTACGGGGCGCAGGCATCCCGAACGTTGGAGTGAAAGAACGAAAAAAATGGGGAAAAAAAACGAAAAAAAAAAACGAAAAAAATTATGGCAGTGTATATTCCCACGCTATAGTGCCAGATTCATTCGATTTTGCTCATCCTATGGAGGGCGCAGTACCATGAGGCCAGCCGCGAAGAGAGAGAGAGAGAGAGAGAGAGAGAGAGAGAGAGAGAGAG